ATAGGCCCCGCTGATCGTGCTGTAACAGTGGTCTAATGTCCTCTCCTCTCTGGTCGGGCATTTAATATACTGCTTGTATTTGGGAAGCTCATGGCTCAGATTGACTTTGTTACAGTCCCCAAGAGCAATGATGAGAGAGTCCGGGAATGTCCGCTCCATGTGCAGTATCTGCTCCGCGAGTGCGCACTGAGCTGCCTGCACATCTGCATCTGGCGGGATGTAAACAGCGGCCAGGATGAATGAAGCAAACTCCCGCGGAGAATAAAACGGTTTGCAGTGCATGCGACCTTTATGCTCTGTGATGTGGTTTCTCTCGGTTGTCTGTGTGATGTGGTCACGTTCAGGTTTGAGAAATCCCGTTCAGCCCCTCTGCCCTGTGCAGACTCAGTGCTCCGGCCCGACAGGTGGCGGTGTTCACCTGTCGGCTGGCAGCAGCAGAAGTAGAAGAAGAAGACGCTGCTGTTAGACAGTCCGCCATTTGCTGACCCTCGGATCCTCCGGTAGCTTCTTCTTCCCAACAAATCTGCTACAGCTACACCTTCACCTGAAGCGGTACCTGCGCGCGCGGCACAGCGGCGGTGATGGCGGCCGACCGGCGCGAGGACAAAGGTGAGTGAGGAGGACCTTTGTTAGCATTAGCATTAGCATTAGCCACGAACTGCCTTTGTTTGATGCCGCTCGGAGCGGATCGTTAATCGATAATAACTGTGATGATCGATGCTGCTGACGAGCGCGTGACCATTTGATGTGTCTGTGCGTTAGCAGCTCGTGTTTGATCCATCACGACGCTGATGAGCGGCTCGCTTTCACTGCATCAGACTCCGATCAGAAAACTGCTGATTTTACGGCTGAGGCCGCTTTAAGCACGCCTGAGAACAGGTGGAACCGGAACCTAGTTCGTTTTGGGCCACAGTAAGCTCTGACGTGTTCGGGGGTGAGGGGTCAATGATTTGGTCGATTTTAACGACACATCTGATCGCATAAAAGCGAACTAGGGAGACTGTTTACAGGTAAACAGGCTGGTACAGAGCTGCTGCCCTGTGATTGGCTGAGACGTGTGGCTAAATCCAGCAGTGATCAGAGGAGCGTAAACACGACGAGAGCGTTAACGAGTCAGCTTCCTCTGTTTACCTGCTAAAACACTATGGTAATTGATGTTAAATCACTCATCTGGACAGGACCAGGCGATGTTCAGTTTCCTCTGATGCTTTTATGGGCAGCGGAGATTTTTTTTAAGCAACGTGTTCCTGAAAGCTGTGAACAAAGCTCCAGATTTATTTTTTATATAAGTTTTTATGTTAGTGTAATATCGATGGGTCTCTCTAACATTCATGTGGAGTTAGTTATGAGTCCTTTCCGACATGATATGTTTACAAACGTACTTTTATTGGGTCAACAAGTTGTGGACTACTTACTTTACATTGTGCCCGGCTGTGCCAAGATGAACTGATTGTTGCTTGTGGGCTCCAACAGGTATGTGGTTTCTCTAGGTTTACTTGTTAACTTTCATTCTTCAGATGTGAGAAATCAAATCTGATATATCAGCAGGTGTGTCACCCAGGCTTTGGTCTATAAACACCAACACAGACAGACAATAACAGAGTCCTCCTTCTGCCTAATCAGCCAGGTGTGCGTTACCTGTCCTTCTCACACGTGTGTGTGTGTGTGTGTGTGTGTGTGTGTGTGTGTGTGTGTGTGTGTGTGTGTGTGTGGTTTCAGATGGAGAGCTGAACGTTCTGGAAGATTTACTGACTGAAGCTCCTGATCAAGATGACGAGCTGTACAACCCCGAGACAGAGCGTGACATCAGCGACAAGAAAGGTACAGACAGTACTAAAGAGAATACTAAAGACAGTACCACAGACAGCACTACAAAGAATACTACAAACGGTACTACAGAGAATACCACAGACAGTTAAAGAAGATAGACAGTATTATAGAGAGTATTCTAAAGGTACTACTGTAGCTGGTACTACAGATGTTACTATAGCCTGTTAAACATACTGACACTACTAGACAGTATCACGAACATTCCTGACCTAAGTTATTAAAAACTGTGCATGTTATTAAGCCCTCATCGCTGTCTGTCAGGTACGAAGAGGAAGAGCGAGCGTTCTGACAGCCAGGATCTAAAGAGGCTCCGCTCCTCGTCAGGCCACGGTACTTCTAGGTCATCATCCTCCAATAAGAGAGCTCCAGGGCCATCTCTGTCCTCCTCTAAAAAGGCGTCGAGCCCTCGCGGCCGGCACTCCACCACTTACCGTCATGAGTATTATGATGAACGAAAGGGGAGACGTGGGGCCCGAGAGGTGACGAGGAGCCGTGGAGGAGAGGACGCAAGACGGCGAGAGTCCCAGAGAGGCCTGGAGGGTCTGAGTCAGGTACTGCTTACACTAAAAGTATAATTTTAACGGTTTCCAGCCATTCGTATTAACTTCCTGTTTGTCTTCAGAAGTTACGCCGTGATGAGCGGCGAGCAAGTCCCCCCCCCCATGAGGAGGAGAACCAATCAGAGGACGAGACAGGAGCAGAATACGGCTCAGAACAGGCATCGGGCAGCTCCTCCCCCGCTGCTTCCCATGTAGAGGAGGAAGAGGAAGATGACCAGGAGGAAGAGGAGGAAGAGGAGGAAGAAGGTATGGAAGAAGAAGAAGAGGAGGAGGAGGAGGAAGAGGAAGGAGAGAAGGAGGAGGAGGATGAGGAGGAAGAAGAAGAGTACGACCGTCGTGGTGGTGAGGGCAATGACTATGACACACGTAGCGAGGCTGGTGATTCACGCTCCGCCTCCTCTGTCAGCTTCTCTGATGATGGCGAGTCAGCACACTCAGGCTCCGCCTCCGAGGCCTCAGGTAACCATAGAGTTAGTAATGTACATTTTTCTTTTCAAGGAGAAATAAAAAACGATGACGTAATGTTTGAAATTACTGCTTTTAATTTGAAAGGTTCAGAAAAGAAGCGGGAGAAGCTGTCATCGTCGGTCCGTGCAGTTCGTAAAGGCATGGAGAGTAAGGACAATATTCCATGGTTACTTACCCGTTACTACACTTATACCTTTACTGAGTTGCAAGTAATCAGATTACAGCTATTTCCTGTGTTGTTGTAGATCCAACAAGCAAGCTGCGTTATATCCTGAGAGATGCCCGATTTTTCCTCATTAAGAGCAACAACCACGAGAATGTGTCACTGGCCAAAGCTAAGGTACACGTTGACCCCCTCGCTGTTCCCCATTGTTCCCCTTTTCAATCCATGTCACCTCCCTCATGGTTCCAACTGTCATTTTCTGTTGTCACCCCTTCTCCTTGTGTTGTTCCCCTCATTGTTCCCTCTCTTTCCCGTGTCTTCCCCAGTGTAGTTTGTGTCATTCCTTGTTGTTCCCCTCGATTTTCCCTCTGTCATTCTCTATCGTTCCCTGTCACCCCCTGTGTTGTTCCCCGTTTTGTTCTGATAGCTGAGGATGAATTGGTGTTTCTGGCGGTTACAGGGTGTTTGGTCGACACTGCCGGTGAACGAGAAGAAGCTCAATGCTGCCTTCCGCTCAGCTAGGAGCGTTGTTCTCATCTTCTCTGTGAGGGAAAGTGGAAAATTCCAAGGTATGAGGAAAAGAGGTTTTCAGTATCATATGTCGTTGTCTGTTCACCTTATTCACCTTATCCTCTTCTTAACTCTGATTGGTCTGTTTTGTCTTATCCTCAGGTTTCGCTCGTTTGGCGTCAGAGTCTCATCATGGTGGCTCTCCGATCCACTGGGTGCTCCCTGCTGGAATGAATGCCAAGATGCTGGGAGGAGTCTTTAAGATTGACTGGCTCTGCAGGTAAACAGCTCCATCCAGTAGGTTTATACTCTGTTTCTATTGGTTGCTGGTGAGTGTTTGACTTCTCCTAGACTGATCTCGGTCTCCGGTTCTGATTTTAAATTTTATGGACAAAATTTTATGGATGAACTGGAGGCAGAGGGTATTGGGTTGATTCTGGGCTTTGACCAACAGATCGAGGATATTGGCTTTGAAAATAACTACCTGTGAAACGTGAAATCCCTGGCTGGCTGGCTGCTGTTTGGGGTGTGTCCATGTCTTAGGTCAGCTCTTTAGCTCAGCGGTCCCCAACCCCCGGGCCAAGTCATTTGGTACCGGGCCGCGAGAGTTGAGGCTCGGGTGTGAAATGTATGGTTTTCAGGGTTTTTATCGGTTTTTAGCGTTATTTTGTTATCGTTTTTATCGCTAACTCGGTTTTCCTGGGTCTGTTCACGTGTGTTATGAATAAATCTCCAGGAGTCGCCACAGCAGGCTGCTCTGTGTTTTTGCGTTGGTGGATTTTGGGGCTCTGCCTCATGACGTTTGCTGAAGGTGTGAACCTCTGGAGCCACCTCTGCATAGATGTAGTTCACGTGTTGTGTGATGGTTCACCGCTGATGCCCTTGCTTGCTGCTTGCTGGCTACTTCATTCAGTGTTGTCTTCTTTTTTATTTCCTTTTCAGGAGGGAGCTTCCTTTCATTAAGACCGCCCACCTCTCCAACCCCTGGAACGAACACAAGCCGGTGAAAATTGGACGTGACGGCCAGGTCAGCTGACTGTTCTATTACGAATCACGTTTTCCTGTTCCATCACATGATGCAAATCTGTGTCTCTTTCAGGAGATCCAGCCGGACATTGGTGCTCAGCTCTGTGCCCTGTTTCCATTGGATGAGAACGTGGACATTCACCAGGTGGCTCGCCGCATTCGTCACAAACGTCGCACACCATCGGAGCCGCGGCCTCGGGGCCGACCACCACAACGTGAACCGGGAAGGTTAGCCAATCATCAAGCTCCTCCTCCCGCTTCCTGTTCTTCTTCTTCTGCTGTGACCACGGCGCCACCTGATGCTGGACGACGGAGACAGCCGCTGCCCTTAGCTGGCGGCTAGCTTTCCCGTGGCTCGCGTTGCTGGCTCTCTGGTTGTTATTTTTCCAGTCTGGAGCTTCCCGGAGCGAAGCCTCACTCTGCATCTTTGGTCGAGGTGTTAAAGTCAGGCAGGAAGTGAAGTCCTCGACAAGCGTTAAACAGCTGACGTCACAGAGGAAGTTTAACCCTTCACTTGAGTTTCATTTCCTTTGAAGTGTGAGCTGAGCAACATCTCTTTGTTTTATTTTGTAATTTTTAGCTGAATTTTGTTTTGTTTTTTTAGGTCTGTAGTCTTTACGTAGCTGAGCTGAAGTTTTGTTGTTGTTAAATTTGTCCTTTGAAGCTCTTTGTCTTCGCAGGATTTTGATACTTCAGAGGTTAAAAAGTGAAAATTTGTAGCTGGACTGAAGCTGACCCTTTCAGAATAAAAGCAGAAAGGACAAGCGTCACTGGCTGGACTGACGAAGGAGGGGGTGGGAGGGTGAGCGAGGTAGAACTAAAAAAGGAAGTAAGGGAGCATCTGAGACCCCAATGGACTGTTTCAGGTGTTTGACCGGGTTTTACAGGTTGGTCAGGAGGGGGCGGGGCCTCTGGACTGAATCCACTGAGGTGTGGTGAGTCTAAAGGGGAGGGGCCTCAGGACTGTATCCAGTAAGGTTGTGTGTTGTGGCAAGGCCTCTGGACTGTATCCAATGAGAAGTGTGGTGTGTTGGGGGCGGGGCTCCCTCTGGTTGTATGAGGTAAAGTTGCAGGTGCCTAAAAGACTGAAAAAAAAAAACATACCCCTGGACTGAAAAAAGTGACCCCTCCCCCACATGAAAGGACAGTCATGTTCCCCTCTTCCTCCCCTCTCCTCCCACTGGCACACACACACAGGACGGCGAGCTGGTTGTCGATGTGTGTGTGTGTGTGTGTCGCTCTGATGGACGAATACAGTGAGCATAAAATTAATCGAATGGACGGAGCGACAGAAAGACGACGCAGTTTGTCATTTCTGTTTAAGGACTGTTGCTGGTCTGGAAGGGGCGGGGCAGGGCTCACGGGGCGGGGCTTTGTGTATTGATTGACAGGACTGCACCATCATCATCATCACCCCTCACCTTTTCAAAATAAGAGGGTTTATAAAAGCCTTTAACATGGACTGATGAGGAGAAAAACTGTTTTTTTTTTAAAGTGTTGCCCCTCCCTCATACGCAGCAGAAGCGGTATGTTGTCCCTTTCAGAGGTTCTTCTTCATTTGTTCTTTTTTTTTTTTTAATTGTGTGTGTGTGTGTGAGAGAGAGAGAGAGAGAGAGAGAGAGAGAGAGAGACTTTGTCAGACTGCAGATTCTGTTTTCATCCTTCAGAGTGAAACTTTTAAAACAGGAGATTCTGTGTGGACATCAGTTGATTTAAAAATAAGCCAAAACAAATTTGGAACAGCACTGGAATAGGCCCAGAGCACAATGAGAATAGGATCGGTATATGGTTGGAACCGGATCAGAACAGGGCCTAAAAAGGACCAGAGTAGGGCAGGAACAGCACCTTAATTCAGCCAGAATGGGAATGGAACACGATCTGAACAGGGCTAGAATAGGACCAGGACAGGATTGAAACATGTTCATAATAGGACTGGAATAGGATTAGAACAGGATTTGAACAGGGTCTTTATCAGCGTCTGACTTTCTTGCGTTTAAACATCATGTTACAGACAAAGCTGTTTCCACGCACAAATTGAAGGTGTCACCTGGTGTAAATGTCCAAATCAGTCTGTCTTTATCCTCAAAGCTTTCTGTTACTAGACCTGTGTGATATCTGATTCGTCCAGGTAAGCGTCAGGTGAAGTCACAGGTGAAGTCACAGGTGAAGTCACAGGTGAAGTCACAGGTGAACCACACAGAGCGGCTGATTGTGTTGCAGTTCGAGTTTGTGTGTGAAAACGGATTTGGGGGAGGGTGGGGGATTTCTTCTTGTGTTGGAGTCTGATCTGAGGAAGTATCCGGTTTGTATTGGTGTGTGTGTGTGTGTGTGTGTGTGTGTGTGTGTGTGTGTGTGTGTGTGTGTGTGTGTGTGTGTGTGTGTGTGTGTGTGTGTGTGATGGAGTGTACCTGAGTGCATGTGTGTGTCTTACCTGTGGACTTGTTTATGTAGGCGTCGACCTGAAGAGTATGACCTCCACGGCAGGAAGCGACTGCGACCTGACGGTCCACCAGACTTCAGCCAGCGAGCAGGTTAATGTGCAGCTTCCATTTAAACAGCCGACTAAGACCCAGATTTTCAGGTGCAGGTGTCGAACACACCTGTTACCTGAATGTTTGCCATTCACTGTCACCTCAACCGAACTTTATGTGTCGTGCTTTTAGGGTTCATCCAGGACCTGAGGAGCCAGCCAGTGGACAGGTGAGACACACCTGGAATCGGGTTTCTTCTGTATTCCTCTTAGACCCTGAGTTGATGTAATCAGACTGATATTAGAAACGTCATCACATCTTCAAATGTCTTTGACCAGACATCCAGAACAAACGCTGCACTGTTCCTCCTGAATCTGAGTTTCAGCTGACAGCAGACTCTCCTGTACCCAGTCTTAGACCTTCCAGGTATATCCCCAGCTGTGATCCTTCTGGTTCACCTTATTACAAAGGGGATCATCACCAAAGTCTGTCAGTCCAGAGTTACTGGTGGGTATTTCAACCAAGACTGGCGCATGACGTGCAAGAACTGGGGACACATCCAGGAAGTCTTTTAGCTACTGTGATGGGCAAGTCATGCACCTGATCTTCAGACTCTGCTTCCTCTCTGGAATGGTTTGCAGAGGAATTTAGGAGCTCCTCAGAGGTGTTCCTCCACCTCCAACTATACGTCCAGAGTCTAGCAAGCTCAAAAGGACTCTATTCAGCTCGATAGCTCCTCTGTTGTTCACCATATGGTTAAAGGGTTACCAGACGACAGGTACCAACCACTTTACAGCCAAACTCCATGCATCTGATCCAACTCTCCATCAGGTGGTGATCCGTTCACACCTCAGCTCCTCTCCTCACCTGAGGCCTTAGATCTGGTGATACAATTACAAAATTATGAACACCCTTAAGTTCAAACATGGTGTTCGTTATAGACGAACCAATAACAAAACACCACTCAGGTTCAGGACGAGCAGGTCATTCTTCCCAATCGTGCCAGATCGAGGTGACATTGTTGTTGCCCTTGGCAGAATTAAAGTGGAGCTCCTAGATGTTTCTTGGGGTGAGGTGCTGCTCTGTGCTCAGTCACGGAAACAACTCTAGTCCATGAAGGAACCCCTAAACATCCAGGTGCCGAACTCCAGTTCCAGAAGCTGAGCTGGCTTCTCAGCCTCACGTGCTTGCTCAGATTCCTTCCATACCACAAGTGTGACGTCCTCCATTCCTGTTGCCGGTATGGGCTGCTGGGACCAGACTGTTGAGGTCTGCCCCTGTGGTTGGCGCCCAACTACCACGGCCACGGCAGGTGGTCTATACCCAACCATCACACCCAGGCAGACCCACAGGACCGCATCCACACTAAACTCTGCCACCTGCAAGTCCCTTCATATATTGATCAGAAACTCCTCCACCATGATAAAGTGAAGATTCAAAGGATCTAAACTTTCGTCTTGAATTTAAAAAATAATAATAATAAAATTTGAAAGTCTGAATTTCTCATGAATCTGTTCTCTTTCCAGGCGATTTTCTGGCGTAAGACGAGACGTGTTTCTCAATGGGGTGGGTCCAAACGTTTCACTTCATTGATTACTTATCACTTCACTGATTGTTTATTGATTAGTCTGATTAGTATTGATTAGAGGTGTGGGTGAACATAAATAAAACTGTAAATTAAAAACAGCCCGTAATCATCACAAATACCACATGCAGATCATTTGATTTCAGACAGGAAGGGGTTTTCTTGTGTTTAGCTGTGTCCTTACCTGTGTTCACCTTTGTCCTTCTTGCTTCAGTCCTATAACGAGTATATGAGGGATTACCACCACAGTGTCGGCCCCCCGGCGCCCTGGCAGACTCTGGTATGAATAGGTTATTAATCACGTTCTGATCGATTGTTCCTGCCTGTGACGGATGATGAAAACATGCATTTTACCTGGAAGCAGGAAACTGTTTTTGTGTTTTAAGATGTTGCATGAGAATTTTCAGATTAAAAGCCTTTATTAAAGTCACTACAGACTGATCTAATGATGATGCCACGTGTGTCATCAGGCGGGCTATCCCGGCGTGGAGCAGCCACCCCCACACCATCCACCCTACTACCACCACAGCCACCCACCGCCTCCCCCTCACCAGGCCTACCACCATCATCACCACCCACCCCTGCCACCACACGAGGCCCCGCCCCCTCGCTTCAGAGATAAGCAACGAGCACCGCAGCACCGCGCCTTCACGTCCAGCCCAGTAAGTTCACTCAGTCCAATCAGGCGTATTGATTAGTGATCAGCACAGCCTCTTACTGTTTTTTTGTTTTTGTTCACCCTCCTCCATCATACAGCACGACTATGACATGCGAGTGGACGACTTCCTGCGGCGGACGCAGGCAGTGGTGAGCAGCCGGCGGGAGCGAGAGCGTCAGCGTGAGCGTGAGCGAGGTGGCCCGCGCCGTGACAGAGAGCGAGAGCGAGTGAGGGATAGAGACAGAGAAAGAGAAAGGGACAAGGAGAGGGGGCGGTACCGCAGGTGATCTGATGACATCACTTCTTGGCAGCCTGCACTGCTTTTTTTTTTTTTCTTTTTTTTTTTTTTTTTTTTGGCAGCCCGCACTGCTTTTTGACTGGTTTGCTGTTTTTGTTGAAAATTATGAATTAAAAACAAACAAACTGAGTGATGACATCATCAGTTTTATGTGAATAAAGTGAAAACTTGTACAAAGAAATATTTGGTCAAAACTTTTATTTTGGCAGCCTGTGTGTGACTCCTGGTGCAGTGCCAGATTTCCCACAATGCTCTGTGTTCATTTTTTTTTAATGTTTTGAGAGTCTGGTGATGCCCAACGTGAGGGTGGAAGCAATCTAGACCCATTACTCAGATCTAAGATGTCATAAGATAATGGAAGAAACTTTTATTATGAACATGTTTCTGTAACAATTTCTCATTTTATTCTGAAAAGTAGTGCAGTGTTTCCTGTTAAAGCTTTCAAATTAAATGTTTTTAAGTATGAAACTCATCCCGTTTCCCTGTTTTCTTCACTTCCTGTTTGGGGAGTTAGGACGCACTAAGTGGGGCTCCCTGCACATCCACGTAACGCTTCATATTCCTGCTTCCTCCCAGGAAGAGCTACACAGTGATGACTGTAGGTGACCATCATCATCATCATCATCATCTGGTCCAGTCTGTAGTCTCCATGATAGTAGTTGTGTGCATTTATGCAGTTTTAGCAGTAGTTAAGTCTCCAAGTGAAATATGAGCTGTTAGCCACAATAATTAAAGATGAATTGTTCTTCAGATGAACTAAAGTTTGGTCCGGGTGTATATTCAGGTGAGGATACCTGCCTCAGAGAGTAGTTTTGATACGTCACAGTGGGCGACCAAGGGGCAAGAACTGGAGCACCATTTTCGGGATCACCATTTTAAGATCATCCAAATTGGCTGCAGGACATGCAGCGTGTGGATAAAGCATCAAACTGAGACCTTCTTCACCTTGTGGTAGTCAACACAACCATGTAGACTAAAGATGTTCCTGGACTAATGTCTTAGTCGACTAACCATGGAAATTTTTTTTTGACTAATCGACTGGTCTAGCACTAAGAAACACTCAGATATGAAGTTACATTTGAGAACTGTTTAATGGAAGCTGACAACAACAAAGCTGTTTTAAACCATTAATCCCATTCTTAAATAATGAACCATGATGCTTAACTGTGCAGCATCTTATTGTGCATTAGCAACATTACATGTTATACTCCAGACAGCGAGGCAGAAAAACACTTAAAATAAAATGATGTTAAATATGATATGAAAACATGTTACGACAAAAGTTAACGTGTTATTAAAATATAACAAATGAACATCCAAAAAACTGCAACTGAAGAGTGCGACGTGCATTATGAACAATGAACGCTGTTCACCCACCCACTTCTATAAAGGTTAAAATCTAAAATAAAACAGTAAATCATTTAGTTGTTTTCTTCTGCTAATCTGAAGTGCAATCTCTCCAGCATGTCCCGGGTCTACACTTGGGGGACTCCTCCCAGGAGAACCTTACCCAGGAGGCGACAGTCTTAGATGTCTCCTTGTGATGTGGAGGAGCAGTGGTTCTACTGTGAACTCCTCCCAAATGACTGAACTCCTCACCCTATCACGAAGGCACCGTCCACCTTTTGGAGAAAGCTTTCCACCACTTGTATCTGAAATTTCATTCTGATAGAGTAAACTTACATTTATGTTTTATCTGCCCAAATATGTAATGCAGAATAGAGTGTTGAGGAAAAAAAAAAGCCACACTTATATCACACATTCCAATGGTAGAGATTTACACAATAGAGCTTGGAAGCAGGCTGGTGCACACTGACACCACTACCCAGAAAACAACTATGTAAATAATGGAGCTAGGGAGAGCTCTCTCTCTCTTCACTTCTATAGGCCTGACCAGAGGAGGGGATGTGGTTGCCATGGTGATGTGGGAAGAGTCATCTCCTGTTACAAAGAGATGTCCAATAGGTGCAGGATATGAAATGTGAGCCAGATACTAGACTCAAGCCAGATAAGGGGACCCAATTCTAAATCCGTGGTTTCCCCCGACTTTTTAACCAATCACATTAACATGCTTACTGCTTTCGTGTGTCATCCTTTGTCTCTCTGAGCCCTGAAAGGCAGAGGTCCATGGCTCTATGTAACCATTTAACAATTAATTTTTAAAAGTCATAATTTGAGCATTTTTTTCTCTCAAGAAAATAGAACACGACAATACATCCATCTACACACCAATAAACATAACATTTAGAAAACAAAATGTACCAGGAATTACTGCTGAGAGCACAATGAATTTGTGATTGGAAGCCAAGGCATCAGAGGGGTTTGTAACACTACAAATAAAAATATAATTCACATGCCTCCTTTTGTCGTTCAGTGCGTGAAGTACACTGAACGGATTGTCTCGGAAAACCCCTGCAGAAAGTGAACTCATCTTTCATTGTAGCTGTTCACAGTCACACCTTTGACACAGCTTTGTGACCACAGCCACAAATTCATGGCAGATGGCAGACTGAATAAGAGGCATCACTCTACACTGATGAGACAGTTTGGTTTATTAGAAAATATAATAGAGAAGCTGCATTTGAGGACATCTCCTCTGAAGCAGAGAATACAGTGCAGTCATGTGTTCTTAAAATGAAAGAAGAACCAAACTGTGGAGTATGTCTGCATTTGTTCTTTTGGATGGTTAAAACCTCCAAACCTATTTATATATTACTCCAAAAATGTCAAATCTCTCTTCAGTCCTTCTTCTCTCTTCCTGCTCGCTGTCTGCACTGCCGCAGGATGCAGCGTATCCCCACCCACCACAAAGCAGCGACGGTCATCAAAGCGACCAGCAGGGCAGCACCGGTGTCCAAGCTGTGGTACTGGAACCAGTTCAGGTCGTATGATGCCAACCGCAGATGCCTAGCTCCACCATGTCGCATAACAAACTCCACCCAGAAGACGGCGGTACTCAGTGGTGTCACTGGCTGGTCGCGGTGCACCGCTGACAGACGCTGCATGTTGGTCCTGTAGCTGTGCATGGTAAACAAACAGTAAGTCATATGACAGTTTCACTGTTAAACAGTAGTGCACTTTTATTGTGAAGGAATCAGGTCAAAGACAGGAAATAAAATGTTATTAAACAGGTCCAAATGTACAAAGATGAAACTATTAACAGGAAATATACAAACACAATTCCACACTAAAATCACCTTTACCTTGGCTGGTTTGTAACGACGTGCAGCGCCTCTGCCAGCCCCTCAGCTGTCAGATGGTTGAAGTCCAGGACGATGGCGGTGCCGAGGCGGCTCATACGGGCGAGATTATCAGGCTGATCGCCAAACAGTGGCACGCCCACCAGAGGCACACCATGAAACACAGCTTCATACAGACCGTTAGTGCCGCCATGTGTCACGAATGCCTTTGTCTTTGGGTGACCTGAGGACAAACAAATGCAGAGCTTTTATTGTGAAAGAACATCACAATCCACCTGAGGAAG